GACCACAGTTCTGTGGCAACTTCAGCTCAAGTGCCCACCTCACCTCCTCACTGGCCCGCTGTCAATGACATCAGACCCAGTTGAAAATGAATAACTGAAACAAAAACTGAAAATAATGCAGCCGGAAATGCAGTGCAAAAAACTTCCCAAGCCTCTATAGGGTTTCCCGCTCAACTTCTGTTACATTTTTGCCATTTAGCATTTGCCACTTTTGTAATTATGCGAAAACGAAAACAATACGGCCCGGTGAGTCACCGGCAGCAGCGTCAGTTGTCGCCACCTGCGACCGCTTTGGGTCACGGGCCAACCATGTGAACCCAAATGTGAAGAGTCGCCGGCGAGAGTCGGGTTCAGTTCAGACGTTCAGCAGGGTCGGTAGCGAGCCCAATTTTAAAATGCAATAAAGCCCGTGTGTGCTTTATGGCAGCCGCTTTTGTTCGAGTGCGAGTCATGGTAGTTATCCCTGCCATATGGACAAATGAATTTTTCTACTGCGCCGCCCGGGGTGTTTGTTGTCGGTATGCAAAAACTAATTACCAAAGTCGCTATTTTTTAGGGTTTAGTGGAGGGGAACTCATCGTGGTCAACCACGGGTTGATCCATGGGAACTCAAATAAATAATAAATATATTTTATAACATAATGTTTTTCTTTACCTCTTTATTTTGTTAAAAAAAATATATATTAATGTATTGTTTGATTTGTAAAGTTAATAGTTAAGTTGGTAAAACGAACAAATAAAAGTTTAGTACTTATGGTATTTTTATTACGGTATTTTGCCTCTCTCCAAAAATCTCATCATTTATAAAGTAAATAAAAATAAAATTACAAAAATATTAGAGAGAGATGCTCTCGAGATAGATAACTATAGCAAACCGAAGAAAACCGCAGAAACCTCACTTTTAATTTGAAAAGCAAAATGCAATTTAAGCGAGGCTAACCATTTTGATGAACCGCTTAGATGTTGGGCCCGTGGAAAAGCCAATCGTCGAACTCCAGGCGAAAACTGGAGAACTTGGCAAATAAATACGATTTTAACACCTTTTGCTCCACATTCCTTTCGGCCAGTTCCGTTAGACGTGAACGATGGCCAGGCTTGGGCATCAATTGTTATTATTATTAATTAGAAAAAATATTTCGCCGCCGAGGCAACGCCGAATCGCAGGCCCAAACGTACCAGAACCCAGCCCAACTGGAGTCCAAACATCGCCTGACTGGAGTTATCGGAGCAGAGGCATCGGACCACTAGGAGCTGCAAGTTGCAGTCCGCCGGATAGTTATTTGGTCCAGAGAGTTTTGATTGGAACTTCTCGTGGCCGTGACATGCGAGCTCCGCTGCTTCGTGTCAGCAAATTAGAGAAATATTTTGTTTGCTCAGTAATTGGCAATTGATCCAGAGATCCCCCGGAACGCTCTGAAAGAAAACCAGAAACGGAGCTTTACAAATTGCCAAGAAGCTCGTGGAGCACACGCCCCAAAAAGTTTCATATGTGAAATCAATAAAAGTCTCATAAATAATGACCATCGATTCCGGTTTGTGGCTTTCGGCGTTTAAGTCAGAGAATCTCCATAAGAGATTTGCATTTCTGAATTTAATAATTAGCATGACAAAGAGCTGATCAACAAAAAAACATTTGGCTATAAACTTATATTTAGAAAACTACGGTAGGCGATTCTTGTGCACCCAACATTTTCGCTTTCAGTGACTAGAACTAAACAGTTTGGATAAAACTTGAATATAAAATTATGCAAGCTATTAAGCAACGTGCCATAAAAATTATACAAAAGTATTGTTTAAGTCATTATTAAAAACCTCTTTTGTTTTAAAGTAAGGAATATATATTTAAGAGCTTACATTTTTTTCGGAATATTTTTAAACTTTCGTTTCCCTACATTTTTGCGTGATTTATGTTTTGTTGGTGGCTCAGCGAAATTCTTTAAAATATTTTTCTATAATTTCACAAATTCACGAAATATGTTAATTAAAGACTTGCAAGCGACAAACTAATTTGTCTTTGGTCAAAAGGAAAAGTTTTGTTTTTAATTTTATGTGGGCAGTTAAAAGTAAAAGCTGAGAAATTAGCATGCGGAAGAAAGGTTAAGAAGTCAAGCTATGGAAATTATATAGAGGATATAGAATTTTGCTAAAAATAACTGGGCACTCCATTCGACAAAGTAAATTACTGAAGCCCAAAACAAAAACAGGAACGCAAAAAGAAGTGAAAGAAAATAATCGTAAAAGAACGAATGAGCAACAAATTAAATTAAATTGCTATACAAATGTACCTTTATTTTTTATTGATTTAGAGTGCGTGACAACAATAATAAAAGGGGAGACAGAGACAAAAGGGAAATAAAAGGTAAAAAATATAAATGAGAGAGGAAACAATCTCCAAGTTCTGGACAGCATTTTATGGTAGGTGAGGATTACGCAATGGGAATGAGTGGAAAGAATGAAAGATGGGAAATTTCATCTTACAACTAATTTATGTAAACGGAAACACCAAAACAGAATATGGAATTCGAAAGCAGAAGCAAGTTCCTTGACTCCCTGGCTGCCCAATCCCTTTTTCGAATGAGTGCGTAGATCTTTATTGTTTTACCACACCTATAACTCTAATTTGTTTTTGTTCTTCGTTGTTTTTCACACGCTTGCGCTTCTGAGAAGTTCTTTATAAAGTTATTTGCCTAAAATGAATTTAAACAATTCTAATTTCATTTCTCTGACTATGGCTTTGTTTACTTGGCTTTTGATGGATACATTTTTGGGTCTTTTGGCCAGTAAGTAGCAACAAAATTGTTGCTCTCGCGGTTGTTGCTGTCATGCAAATGAGCCAAGTGACAGGCCAAATGAGTCTGTTTGCTTTCGAGTGGGAGTAATGTTCAGAAAGCAGTTAACGTTCTGTTTTCGTTTCGTTTTGACTAGGTGGTCTTCTGGCTAAATTGATTCAACAATCTAATTTGGTTATGCGGATTGGGAAAAGTGGTTTTAACTTGTTAATTAAATACAATTTTTAATATTTTATAAAAAGACATTTTAATTTAGGTAGACCAGACACATGGAAATATACATTTCCTTTTTTTTTTGAAAAGTCTTCGGAACACTCTAGAATAATACCGGCCTATCAAGTTCTCTTCATCAAAGTTAAGATTACACCAAAGCCTTTTATAGAGTCGCAGTCAGCGATAAGGCAATTTCAACCGAGTAACCCATTTGCCTCATTTGTCTGGGACGCTGTTGTTGTTCTCGCTAGTAATGCTGCCACTAGAGATGTTGCAGCTAGTTGCATACTCCCTCACAGAAATGCACTGACAACGACGGCGGCATATTTTCAACACCTGCCTTGCCTCGACTTTGCCCGTCAACCTTTGTGCCACTTTGCCGGTTCCCAAAACTCACTTTTGTGTCATTGCAGCAGTTGCTGATGCTGCTGATGTTGCTGTTGTTGTTCCTCTGGGAGATAAGCCAAAAAAAAAAACTATTTGCCAGCAAATGCTGTCGTTGTCTCAGCTGCTGGGGAACTCTGAGCTCGGGGCTCGAAAATTTTCGATGGAGAAATGGGGGAGCACGGGAACCTCGGGGAAGTCTGCATGCATTAGAGCAAGTTGCAGGCAGTCAGCAAATTAACTTGGCGAAGGCGAAGCCGCCAGGCAGCCAAAGGTAGACGCATCACTGGCTTTTCAGTTCCCCAGGCCCCTTGCCCCCTGCCCCTCCCCCTTCCCCTCCCCCTTCCCCTCCCCCTTCCCCTCCCCCTTCCCCTTCCTCCCTCCACCTTTCTTTGACTGCAAATATGCGAACTGCGCATCTTATTAAGAAAGAAAGTACTTTCTGTCAGGCAGCTGTTGTTTGTTGGTCCGTTGTTGTTTTGCCGCCGACTGTTTTCTACCATATACACTATGTATATAAATAATTATACACTTTCCCGAGGAGTTGTTTGGCTGACAAACGGAAGTACTGCCTAGAAATATCAAAAAGTTGATTGCCTAATCTATTTAAAAAACGTCTTAAATTATACTAATATTTTCAAGTGCTTTTCTATTTTATACTATTTGAATTGTATTAAAAAAGTGTTAAATTTTGAAATTGTTAATTTAATTGCTTTTTTTTTTTTTTGTTATCAGCTTTAAACTTTAAATGTTCAAATGTTTAAAGCTTTAAATGTTTAAAACATTTAGTGAGGTAATGAGACTGTATTCAAAAATCATGTTTTGCCAATTTCAAGTTTTTTTTCTATTATTATCCATACAATATGGAGTTTTTTTTCGTTCAGCTTGCATTTTCAAGTGCCGTGCGAACTTCAACTTGATGTCTCGTTGTTGTCGAGCCACACAAGATGACTTCCCCGGCCGAAATTCCCCACAGCTTGCCACCTTTTGGGGCGGCAGGGGAATGCCGGTGGAGACCGGGTACGAGTCGCAGTTGCAGCCCGTCTTATTATGATTACAAATACCTAGCCTAGAGCCCAACTGGTTGGACTTGTTTACTGGAGTTTCATTCGGAGTTTTTCTATCATAATTCCAAATGCATTTAAATTGGCCCAAAAAACGCAAAGAAACCACCAAGTTGCTCAACAAGATTTATATATTTTTTTGCCGGTCGACTTAATTGCCGCTAATACAATTAAATACAAATATTTTTTCCTTTCGTTGTGTTTAATTTGTCACAGCGTGTACATATTTATTTGCTTATTCGCTTAGCTTATTTCTTAAATTAAATTAATTGCAAGTAATTGTAAAGTTATGTTGGACATACTCATGGAATTAAAAAAGCAACTAAAAAAGTGAAATAAGGGAAAGGAATTCGAAAAATATTTTTATGGTTTCAATAAACTTTAAGCTTTGGTTAGGCAATATTTTTTTTACTAAGTAGGTAGATTTCAGTAGGTTTCAATAAAATCGCTTATTAATGGAATGCTTTTACTTAGATTTAATTACTTTTATTTAAAGCTATTATAACATTTTTTAAGCAAACTTTTAAACTTTTTAAAAATATTTTAGATTAAAACGTATTAAATAGTGTTACATTTAATTTATTTAAAATGTTAAGACTTATTTCTTTCAAAGCAATGTTGAATATCAAATACCTACACAGCCTATCTAACAAAATACGAGAAGACAGAGCGAACCCGGAAAATTCTTACATAGTTATGATCTGGCTTTTATGATTGCCTCAGCTCGTTATAGGTTATATAACATGATGGCGATCATAATGGTTAGGCAGGCACTGACCACACTCAATCCCTGAGCGCCGTTCCACTCCCTAAACAAGATGATCGGTTGGAAGAAAATAGTATAAAGGTTCACTTTCCTATCCACGGATCCAGACTTGATGTTAATGATGGCTGGGCGATGAAGCAACTCAGCCTGGCCTCCTATTAAGTCACGCAAAATTTAAGCTAATTTGAGGTTTTAGTTCTTCCCGAGATATTCCCCACTTCTAATTGGGCTCGGAGTCAAAACGCTTATGTAAACAAGGAAGTGAACAAGCTGAATGCGTAAGCAGAAACTTTTACTTGGCTGTGGGCGCTGTTCGTTGGCTGGCTTCCTTTCGACATAAAACGACGGAAATTGCCCAGAAGGCAAAGCTAAAGCCAAATTAAAAGTGGGAGGGAATGGGCAACGCAACTGGGTCTAAACATAAAGTTTGAATCAGGTTTTTGATCACTTGCCAGCCACCTAATTGAAAACGAAAGCGCAAATAGGTAGCTGGAAAAAAGAAAAGTGCAAATGGGGGAAAACTACCTGAAATGAAAATGCCTTCGACGGCCATCGATAATCGAATGACAACAATGAGAGACCTTTTCCCCGGCTCTTTTCCTTCTTCTTGTTTGCTTTTGCCCGAACACACTTTTGATTTCCGCATCGTCGCCCCGTCCGCTTTTCATTCCATTCCTTCGTTTTCCATGTTCATTGGAGCGTCCCGGAGGAGAAGGTAAAGTTTTCCAACGGAAAAGCGGAGACTGATTTTGCTTTGGTGTGTTGACCACGTTCAATTAACAAGGAAAGTGCTGGAAATGAAACCGAAATAAAGTCAAACCGAATGATTTCTCGATTTAATTTAACAGTCAATTTAATTTTAGAGCGACTTTTTCAAAGTTGTTGTCAGGAATTCAGTGAGTTAAAAATTTATATATTTATTTAAAAAACTTTTAGTATTTTTGGAGAAGAATTTATTGGATTAGTTCTTGGCTGGCGTGCCTACATTTTAAATAAAATCTGATGTGGCTTGAGGCACTTTTTGAAGTAAAAAAAATTTTTTTTAGTAGTCGTTCAAGAAGACTTTTAATTTCAATGCCAATCTTTTTACTTTCATTGGATATAATGCGAGAAAAAAATGCCTCATAATATATCCTCTCGATACTCTCTCTTTCACTGGCGATCTTGGCAATCGCCGCGGCAATAATAATAATTTCCTGTTGGAGAAAAATTGCAACTCTGCTAATTTGCTGTAAATAAACGACGCGCAAATAATATACAATTAATTGCTATTCCAAGTTGGACTTGAAGTCGCAGCTCGGAGTCAGAGTCAAGTCGGCGGTCAGATTCAGATGAAATGGCTGGCGGAGGCAATCTACATCGCTCCGGCGATGGTATCCCATGATCCGGCGGCTTTATCCGCTCCCCGCTGTCTTTAGCTGGCAGATCGAAGCCTCCGGAGGGGCGATGGGCGATGGGCAACGCCCACACGCAACGATTCTCCGAGGGCAATTTGGAGTTTGGGGCGCTCTGATCGGCAAATTATGAAGTGCCAAGGAAGCCATTTAAACGATTTAATGGCACCCTGCGTTTCCACCGCGTTTCCCAATGATCGTAAATAAACAGAACGCAAGGCAACAGAAAGCAGAGCAATTGTAGAAGTAGCAGTTCCTCTGCGATGACGATGCCCTCCTGGTGGTCCGTCCCTTGGCTTGGCTTTATTACACATTGGTCTTGGACTGGATGTTTTCCCTGGGAAGTGAATTGATTATTGCTGGGCGAAATCCGAATGGGTGAAATGAATTCATTGGCTCGAGATGTCAGTGTTACATTCGAAGAAGATGGACCACCAGCGGAGTCTCAATCCGAAGATTCCATTCATGAGGGGTCCATTCATGCTAAATTATCGTTTATTCGAAGAGCACCCTGCAGCTCACAGGTTATTTTATTCAATTAAAGAGCTTATTTAAAAGTAAATACCATATTGTCTTAATGTTTTTTAGAGTTTTGTGAGATCAACAATCAATTTCACAGAACTCCTTTGATTGATTAAAATAGGTAAATATTAATTATGTAATTAAAATGTATCTCATTGAGTTTTGATTTAATTATCAATCTAATATAAACATAAATTGTTGTGCATTTTCAATATCTCAGTACGAATTTAAAAATTCAATTTTAGATACTTTAAGAGAACAACCGACCTAATTAGAATGTATCTTTTCGCTAGATTTCAAACACAATTGAAATTTTCCTACAAGCCACAAACGAATTTCACCCAACAACTGCGATTACCGAGTTTCGAGATCCAGTGTGCAGTGCCTGGCATCAGACAAAGGCAAATGATAAAAGTAAAACCAAATTGTTACCCTCGGCTCATAAATCGCAGTGCAGATTTGCAACAATGTCGGCTTGTAGCGGAAGTTGTAGAAGAATCTTGTAGTTTGTGCGATCTAAGTGTGTTTGTAGTGCGCCGTGCCTTTGCCTTCGCCTTTCTGGCAAATGATTTGAAAGATGAACTTGAGGCTCGACTGAGATTGTGACTCGTGGCTGCGTCGTCATCATTTGATTAATTTTTCTCTTTGTTGGAAAGTTTTCTTCATTTCATTTTCTTTGTTTTGTTTGGGGATATTATTTTTTCCATCTGTCTGCAGCAGCAAAGTGAAATCTCCGCCTGGGTTGTGTTTCTCCAATTCCAATTCCAATTCCAATACCTATTCCAACCCAAGAAATTCAATTTTCCACAGCGCTCGGATCCGATCGGCTAGGGTCTTCAAATTCAGCTCCAACTCTGATTCCGACCGCATGCCAAATCAATTGTGTCTCCTAAAAATAATCACAATAATTCGTTACAACTTTTGTGTTTCAATTTCGGTTCGCCCCGCCGTCTTTTCTGAGGCATCTATCTTTAGCTCTGAAGTTTGTCAAATGCTGGGCACGTACTATCAGCAACTCTTGGCTTTCTTTTCATTTTCATCTTTTCCTCCGCCGAGTGTTCGATTTTTTCTATGTGCTCGACCAAGTCGCTAATTACGCAAGCACATAGTTACCCGAGGCCCTGGAAATGAAAGCATCAAGCGCGTCCAGCAGATACAAGATACAAGATGCGGTGCTCGCTGCCAGATACATTTACACCCAACTCGTTTAGCACTCAATCGGATCTTCCTATGCATATTAGTTATTAGCCCGGTCGTAATTGAATTAACACCAGCCACGACTTCTCGGTCCTGACTCGGAAATTTTGTATTTCGTCAGCCGTTCGCCACGGTCTCGATCTGTTTCTTTATCCGCAGATGACGCACTATGTTTGGCTGTAGAGCAAGTGCTGTTCAAGTGCTAAAAACTTGCAAGAAATATCCGAAATAAATCAATTGAGCAAACAGCCTTAGCTTAAATACAATATTTGTTTAATTACGTGCTGCTTTTATGGATGAGCGCATATATATTTAGATGAAATTTAAATAAATTCTCACTTGCCAGGAGTTTGTGATATTTATTAAACTTTTGTTAAAAGAATTGTATGGAATAAAATTTGTTACTTAAGTACAAAAAAACTAAAAGTACTTAAATAATTCTAATAGCATACTTACCATAACAACAACCAAATTATATCATACCAATTTAATATATCTAGTTATAAATATAAAGTACCACCTTAAGCTCTTATTTTACAATGGAATGTGGTTTTGGAATCCAAAAGGTAGTCAAGTTAGTTCAATTTAGAGCCTTATTACAAAATGATTAGCCGACTGCACTTGAAGAATATTACCCAATCTGGGTGCCACGATTTAAAGGTCACCAGAAGTGGCGTAATAAACTGCTATCAAAGCTAGACCACAATTACCAACTTAGTCAAACGGCCATATCACTTAGCGAAATGTTACAGGTTGCCTCGACTAAATCATCCATTTATCTATGCATCATTATGGCTTACCCAAGCATCCAGCAAGTGAGCTATATGATGATAGCCCCAATTTAACTAACCGTTTACCGATCTTGCACAAATCCCCAACTCGGCGAAACCCAATTTCGGTGGGCTGTACTCGTATATTTAGCCACCCAGTAGGCTCCACTTGAGGGGGCGCCACTCGAATGCACGCAGGCTGATTACACCAGATTTTCGTTAGTGGCACAGCAGCACGGCGGCGGCGGCGGGAAATTGTTGCATGAAAAACAGCTGTCTAACAACATCAACAAAACGAAGCTAAAGCCAAAATCCAGCCAACGAACGCGACGCTTCAACGCTCGTCAAACACTTCAATTACGAATTCAATTTGTTGCTCATTAAGCTGCTGAAATGTTTATCAACATTTTTGCCGCTGCTTTTGTTAATAGCGTTGTTATGCAATTGGCACGCGCTAAGGTCCAAAAGCAACAGCTTAAATTTTTCAGTTTTTGGGTTATTGTTTGCTCCAGCTGAAGTCATGTTTTGATTTATTTTGCGGATACTGTTATTATTATTTTAGCTCGAAGCTACCTAGGAAGTCAAGTTGAAGAATTTTTGATTAAAAGTTTATATTATTTTAATGGCAATGAGTATTATTATTATTTAAGCTTAAAGTTTCATAGGAATTCGCGTTAAAGGATATGGTTTTTAATCACATAGTAATTAAAGCTAATTTTAAAGTGGTTGGAAATATCATGTATCTGTTTTTCTTTCCTTAAATATAAAATTGGTTTGATAGCACATACATATCATACTTCCTTCTAATTTAAAACCAGCATTTAAACTAAGGAAATAAGTGAACACATTTTTACAAGTTTTCAATATGTGCTAACCTTTTTTTTTTGTTTTTCCTGTTTATATAAAGGAAAAATATTTTTTATTAAAGATGCGTTTGTTAATAAGTCTGTGAATTTTTTTTTCGACTCGTAACAGGAAACTTTTTTGGCTTACGTAATTTTTGTTAGTTTTAATTTAAACTTATAAATAAATTAAAAAAAGTGCGTTGCTCTGAATGATCCAGGGTATACACTCTAACGACTCCTTCAATCTCAGCCTTTCTTTATTGTTTTACTGAAACTTTGTTACATTTCGTGAGCGTGGAGATTGCATTTCCCTTATGTTACGTGTTGAGGTTGAGGGCACGTGAAGAAAACTTTTACGATCATCATGATCATCAAGGTGGTGATGATGATAATGGCGTACAGGTATTGCCATTGCCCTTTACTATGTGTTGTATAACAGGGTAAGAGCCGCAGTGCCCCCACCTGGGGATACACCTGCCCCTTTCCACTTGCCCATCTCAAAATGAGACTTTTCCGGCTGCCATTGCATCCTACGAGTTTCGACTCGAGACTTCATATTGTGTTTCTCACGCACTTTAACACCATTTAGTTGATAACAATCGCAGAAACGTTTCGCCCCTCTCTTTCTCTGCCGCCTATCTGCATCTCCCTCTCCGCGTGCAACGCCACTTGCCACTTGCCACCGCCTTAACTTAACTGCACGCCGAAGATGCCGTTTGGCTTTCCAAAAAAAAAAAAAACAAAAAACGAAAAAATAAGAAAAGGCCCCAGACATAAAAAATTCAAGCCGAGATAAGCAAAGTCCAAAAGCAAACGGACCTGAACCTGAACCTGTGCACCCAACTGGTTGCCGGCCAAAAAACGGAAAAAGATGAATAAAAAATACGCCAGGGAAAAAAGACATACCCCGTACCAAAAACAGAAAAAAATAGCAGGAAAAAGTACACATCGAAGGAGAAAGTAAACGTTAACGAAGCTGCCGCAAAACGTTGAAATGTTGCAAAGAAAGCAGCCAAAGCCGGCAAAAAGGCTGAATAGCAATACTCCTCATCTCTTTCCTCTTATTTTGGGCAAAAGGCCAGTTTCTTCTGCGTTTCGCTGAATGATGAGCTAGTGTTCAAGTTGACAATAATAAGAGAAAAATGCGTGAGGTTAGATGTAATTTAATTTAAAGAGAAGTTAAATATTAGAAAAATATGTTATACTTTTTA